ATGACAAAATTATTTAAGTAAAATAATTCGGATTTTGCGGTGAAATTTTGTAAAATTTGTTCATATTCAGTCCAATATCCTAATTTTACTTTAATTTTCGCACAAAAAACAATATTTAGTTTATATCCGTAAAAAATAGATGTATGAGCATTTTTGAAACATTTGCTATGCAAATATTATTTTGGTAAAAAAATATGGCAAGGAAAACTGATAAAATTAATTTAATTATTTATTATTAAATGATAATTTATTATGATAAAATTAATTCTTTATTATAAATATTTCGAAAACAAACTCTGGTAAAACTAGCGAATCTTACGGTAAAGACGTTTCTGGTAAAAAAAAAAAAGAATAATTCTGATAATAAAATCAAAATGCACGGTATTTAAATCATTCATTTGGCAATTTTTTCGTTCATATATTAACAGTCACCGTAACTTCTTGCTTTCAAAATTATAACACTTATTATCAGACATTTAGAAAAAATGCAAAACTAAAAAGTATAATTAACCGAATAAATAGTTTTAATGCCATAATCTAAGGTATAATGATAAAATTATCAAATTTTAACATATTTATCAAATTGTATCACCTATCTATATATATATTTCTCTTACACAGCGAGAAAAAAAAAGCCTCATTACAACTCCCAACGGCAACGCTAGAAAATCGACCAATGATTGCCACTAAAAATGTCACATGCCAAATATAGCTGAGGTGGCTCAACATATAGCGCTTTTAACCTTTTAACGTGGGCGCAAAAATAAGAAATCTAGATCCTCTGGTGGGCTCTTTCTGAGTCTGGGGGATGAATTCAAGAAAGGGCACCGTTAATCCCTGAAACAAGTCAAGTGATGGGTATTAAACATCCCCGAGAGTTTTATTCTCCCTCTGTTATTCTAAACGCCAGTTGCTATCTTTTACACCACCGCAGTTCGGGATAATAGAAATACCACTGGGGATGGATTCCAGTTTTTTGTTGACAACTGAGAAAGCGCGGGAAAACTTCTTTGGTGGTTTTATAGGATTCAGGGTAAAAAACTACATTCCGAATGTCACATGTCGACTATTTATAGTGTTTTATAAACATTCAGAGTTAATGCGGTGTGTCACAATTTCCTGATTTTATTGTTTTAAATTCTATAAACAACACATAATCCTAACCATAGTCCCGAAAAACTATTCATTACGCTAGCTATAAAAATATTATGCGCGCAATCACATATATATATATNACAGTGTCAATATCCATTCTAAACTATATTAATAATTAAAATTTCCATCATGAGAGTATTTTTATTGAATTTTTTATCTTTCTTGCGTTTGTTTATTTAAAAAAAAATTTTCTCGTTCTATCAAACATTTTTTGTCATATATTTACTTTAAAATTATTGTAATTGTGGTATGTCATTGCTCTCTGGTTTACATTACTATTTTCGACGTATTATTATGAAACATTTTAACATTTTACTGATTAAAATGCAAAACTATTATTACGCATTTGAGGAATAGTTAAAAAGATTATATATTTCAACAGTTAATTCAGTGTTTGAGAATTTCAGTTTGGCATTACAGGCGTTATTTATATCAGTTATTAAAGTTATATCTACTTTTTATAAGCTCTTTGATGCCATATTAAAACGATTGGTTTATTTAAATGTTTCCGCCAAAGATAAGCAAGCTAATGAGGTGTACAGTGATCATAAACACTCTTTTATTGAGTTAAAAAACGTCGGAAATTTCGAAGACCAAAGGGAAAAGCTCGGTTTATATCAATTTTTCTCTTAAATAACGGATAGATCATGCTCTTTCGCATTTATAGGATTACTATGTTTTAAGTGTGAAATCAGTTTTTCCCCGAGAGCTATCATGCAATGAAATTGGGTCATAGTGCGGAAATTTTTTTTTCGCGAGTAAAATCGATTTTTCTTTGAATCTATTCTTATATGCAAAAAGAGTTCTTTTTCGTGATCTTAATTTAGTTAATTATAAATATCTATATTAAACATTATAAATATCAAGATTTTACTTATTAAATATTTGTAACATTGCAGATAATTTATAATTTTATCGAAAGATTATAAATCTTGGGAAAGGATATAAATAGTTATAATGTCGTATTTTTGTAGACAGGCCTCTTGAGTCTGAGTTATTAGTGAAGGGATTTAAGTCATAGCCGATGGAAGAAAACATAGGAAATTTAATTTGATATTAACTCTTTGACTGAATTATTTTATTTTCATCTATCGACTTATGAAAAATACCGGTCACTTCAATAAATGATAAATAATTTTTCGCTTCATTCATCAGGGTCATTTATTTATTATTGTTATTATTACTAATAATAATGAAATAGAAAAGCAAGGTAAATGACGATAATTTTGCCCTAACTCCCAGCTAATTTGAAATATCCTCCTTTTTCAAGAAAGCAAGATCATTTCGATCGAAAATTACGTTATCAAATAAATTCTTTTTATTTTATAATTTTTTAAGATTTCTTAAAAAATTATAAACTATAATAACTATGTTAATTATTTAAAAATAATCATACAGAATTTTTAAATTAATTTTCTAAGTAGTATATAATAGTTTAAATTATTCATTTAAAAAATATTTTATGCGTTAACGGAACTCTAAAATTAAAACACATTTCTTAGCACATTTATCCCATGAACTCTTAGTTAGAAACTAAAATGCGTTCTAAATTTCTAACAATATATTTCGTCAACTTCCCTTATGTTTTTTTAAAATAGTTCCAAAAACTAAAAACGAAACTCAAAGTGAAAACTCAGAAATATTTCAGTTAATGTGTTACAGTTGTAATTGTTTAGCATAAAACAATCGGGCCCATTTCTCTTATTTTGCATTAAATTTCGTGAAAAGTAAGCACTTTATTGAAACTGCGTAGCATATATATAAAAAATTTTCTTCCTCGTTTACATTATTTTAAAAATATAGTCATTCACAATTGACTTCAACTTACTCATGTAATAGATTTATAGAATTTTATTGTTCAAAATTTTAGCTTTAATCTTATAAAAATTTACAAAACTGAGATATTAAAAGAATTTCTAGAACCTATATCTAAAAGTTGAACTGTGTGCAGAATGAGGGAAAGAAACATGAAAATTGCCACCAAAGGAAGAAGGTTTTGTAAAAAAAAGTCAAAAATAGCGTTAATGATTTCAATTTCTTAAACATAGAAAATACATTAGTAATTATAAATTATATATTTATAAATGTGACATTCAAAATACTTATTAGTCCTAAAGTATGAATAAATACTCCTGCGTAGTATTAAGTATATATATTTTTCCTCGGAAATGCAGATATTTATTTAAAATCATGTAAGAACATTTTTTTTAAACTGCAGGAAAAAAAAACTATTTATTTGAGTTTATGTAAAATATATTGCTTTGCTATTTTATTTCAATTTAATTTAATTTACTTAAAAGAACGATTTTCGATTCTGATTATTCCATATTTTTATATACAATTGAAAATATTCGTTAAATTATATTTGTAATAACGAAATCAATTTGTTCAAAATATAACTCACAACTAGAACGAAAAAATTTGTACAAAAAAATAGCAACAATGAAACTGACTAAAAAAGACGTAAGAAAACGGCGGACAAACAAAAAAATACCCAAACTTGGAATAGATGTTTGAAGGTAGGTGGGAAATGTAAGGAAACTTTTCTCCCCTTAACTTAAAAAGGTGAGACCTCTCGTAAACACTAAAACAATAAAACACGTCCCGCTGTACCTTGATCCTGTCTCTTAACTGAGGAGATTTTTTCCCCTATTCTTACGCTGAAAGTGTCACTTGCCCACCACAGGACCCCAAGATCAGATGTGACAACTGCTGTCACAGCCCCCCGGAAAAGGTTTTAAAAACCGAAACTGAAATAACCAGAGAGAGCATTCTCACCACGTGAATTCACCCTATCAGCTGCGGCAATCTCATACTATTAAGCTAGGCAGAAGTGGGTAGTCTTTGTCGATAGATCTCTATTTTAATATTTTGCCGAAAGAGCTTTTTTTCACGAATTTATGTATTACGAATTTATTTGACGACTTTTGATTTATATCACGAATTTATTTGTTTTATTATTGTTATTAGTTATTCATTGAAAAATGAGTCTCAGTCGTGCTGTTACGCTTTAAGATTTTATAGTGTAGCACATTTCTAATAGGTTGAACGCATTACATGTCATTTATTTGAATTCAAATTTATTTTAATGACTTAGTATTTACTAAAAAGATGTATTTTAAAAAAAAAAAATTGTGATATGGATTTGAATGATTGTTTTGAATTCTTAGAATTTTGTGCATTTGTAATGTACCTAAGTTAGTAGCGAGCGAAGCAAACCATATAAGATTGCGTAGCAATATTCGGGGGTTGGCGAGCGTTAGCGAGCATGGGGCGCAGCCCACTAGTTTTAAAATATTATTTTATTTTTAATATTACCAAAATCATTACCAAATTGCTTTGGTATAAATTTCCAAACTTTTTGGTGTTTGCATAGAGTCAAAAACACTGTAATAAAGTTTGGCATATTCTGGTAATTTTGGCCATATTTTGCTACTCAGTGTGATTTTAATTGCTTGTTTTTCTGACTTACGCAAAAAATAAATTAAAAAGTAAAACCTTAATAATTATGAAATTTCATTACATATTATCTTTGAACATTCGAAGAATAAAACGCAATTTTGAAACGAAATTGAAAGCATTAGTTTAATAACAAGCTATTTCATGCATCAAAAAATGAAATTATCTACACGCGACAAAGAATGTACGTTCATAAATGAGAAAACACAAACATACCAAAGCACTGTTTACATCTGTTAGAAAATAATGTCATCTCATTTCATTTCTAGAAATAATATTATTGCAAAACTCTGATTAAAACACACTAGGTAAAAACTTTTAAATTAATAAAATAAATAAAAACGCTGAAAGAGATAGGAATAAAATAATGTTTCATTTTTTTCTAGAATTTTGAATTTCATTACTTACAAGAAATGGAACATCAAGCTGTGAGTACTTTGACCTTTTTTAATATCTAGTAGTGAGTAGCTTTCGAAACTTGTGACTCGAAGTTTCTGAAGCGAAAAGCGTTTCTTATTTCTTCGAGGGTATTCCTCGTCATTCAGTAATTTTTATAGCTGAAGTTTTCATTAAAAAAAAGCAGTAAGATGTTTTATTTCAAAAAATAGTTTTCAAACTAACATTTATTTTGGTTTAACGGTTGACATTTGGCTGCTTTTTATTTTACACTTTCAAAATGCTATATCACATAACAGTTTTTTGCATTTATTGCAACATTTAAGATTTTTTTAAAAATAAAATAGATAAAAATGTCTTATTTATTTCGGTTTTATTTTATTTATTTCTTAAGTCAATTATATTTTTATAATTCGCTTAAATAACCGTTATTAGTCATAAATTTAACATTTGCAAAATATTAATTTATTTTACGTCATACGTCTTGAATGCCAAATTGCATCAGTCATAACGACTTTTGTTATTTTCGTAGAAGCTTGCTATATTTAAAATTAACAACACAACTTTAACGCTTTTTATTTGATACTGGTAAAAGGAAGTAAAATAAAACATAATTAAAATTTTTAATTGCATTTTAGTTCTGCCATCGGCTCGCACCAGCTACTGTACTGACGAAAACTATCCCAAGCCCTTTCCAGTCATGGGTTTGAATCTCTTTACAGTTGGGCTAACCGTGGGGAATTTCCAAACTTTTCTCTACCATGTAATGCAAATGCTGTTTAGTTCCTTAAAAAAGTCACCCACGATGGCTAGTTTTGACTCGTGTTATGCAGGAGCTTTATTTATTTATTTTTTTTTGGTTTGGTTCAAAACTACACCACTAGAGTTCAAAATTACACCACCAGTTAATCTATGATAGTCGTCCAAAACCGAAATCATTTTTTTAACTGCAGTCACTGACCTCGTTCTTCACTTCAGAAGATGCTGGAAGTATTGCTCCTTTAACGTTACCCAGTGAGCACTTGTGAATCCAAGTCACTGAGGCGAGCAACATTGCACATATCACACTGACACAGATACCCGTTCATAAGGTGGGCCACATTCACACATCACATAACAGAGAATTACACACAGAGAGGGAAACTTCCCTGCCCTGAGTGGGACTTGAACCCGCAGCCAATGGCTTCATAGTCAGGCACGATGACCGCTCGGCCTCCTGACCGGCAGTCAAAAAACAGGTCAGATGGACAGCGCCCATAATAAAATAAAATAACAATTTATAATTTAGAAAAGAACAAATATAACAATTTGGATCATCTTGGCAAGAATGGAAGTAGGATTCAGAATAAAAATAAATTACAACTTAATTTTTTGCTAATAAAATTTTTCTTAAAAAATAAATTGCAACGTGGTTTTTAAACACAACATGCTGTGAATGTTATTGCGTCGTGATTTTTTTCCCGAAATCTACTGAAATAATTTCTAAAATGTATTTCATAAAGTATCTTAAGCAACTGCCTTTTGTAGCGCTGTTTCCTACATAGATCAAAATATTTAAACCAGGTGCAATTTGAAAGTAATATTATTATTTTTATAGTGAATATAATATACTTCTTTCTCTATCAAAAATAATGCTTGATTTTTAATTTCTTAAATTCTTCATTGACACGTGAAATTAGTTTGCATTTTAGAAACAAGTCACTTATTGATTTCTCTCACATTCAATAAACTAGAATTCTAAACATCTACAGAATTTTCATTTTAAATCAATGAAATGCGGAATGTAAAAGGAATTCAAGCAAATGAAAATCCTTGAAAGAATTTAGTGCGGGTATATTCTGCTGGTATTGCGTCTTTATTAGCCACAATCATAATCAACCAGAGAGTTTGAAAATATTTGAATACGTTAGGAGGTGATTAACGTGCTATTCTAAAATGAAAAGTGATTTGTTTCCCAATAGATTTTTAAAACTTTAACAGTTTTATCAGAGAAAGTCATTTTGCTGAAATGTAACGAAATAAAGTTTTAAATGCGCATTCTAATCTTTTACTATGCGATTGCATTTAACATTTTCTTCGGAAGTTGCTACTATCAATTTTTACTATCTCATTGGACTAACAATATGATGGTAAAAGTCTTATAAACTTTACAATACCCGCTAAATAAACTGTTTATATAATGTTATATTATATAAGAATAATTATCAGTTTGATGCATATAAATATAAAAATCAAACAAAAAAAACTTTTTTTTAAGGAAGACACAATCTTTTAATAATTTACTCAGAAATTGTAGCTAAATTTAAAATTAATTAAATAAAATTATTAGTTTAAAACCAAACCTCATTTTGATTTGTTTTTATGTACAACTAATTTATGGAAATAATATTTTCTAAGTGTTAAAAAGTTGCAGATTATCATAAAGTCTCGAAAATTATTGAAATTAATTTTTATCTTAATCGTTACTTTTGTTAAAAAAAAGAACAGAATTATTTAAAACAGACTTTTTATTCGCTTTAAATACTTTTTGTTCTCTATACTTTACTTAGATTTTAAAGTTTTGATTTAGGGGATCAATCAGGGTTAATCTATAACAAAATCTATAATACTTTTTATGGTTCATTAAATCTCTTTTAAAATAGGAAAAGCTAAAAAGTAATATATTTTTTTGTTTTATTTTTCTGTTTATTAACAAAAAGCAAATATCCAAAGAATGAGACTATAAATTTAATTTCATAAAATGAAGCCGTGCTTCATTTTTATCCATTTAATTTCATGCACGATGAACAGGAAAGTGAATTTTATTAAAACAAATTTAACATTTTTCGGGTAATATTATTTTAGTCTTAGTTAAATGTATAACGTTCATTTACGTTCTTAAATTTATGAATTCCGAAGATACTCAGTGGAAGAAGCAGGTGAGTGACTTGGTAACAAATAGTCAACAAACTATCCTAGAAAATTACTTACTAGGAGTCGAATGCTGAAGGCGTAAACAGTTCGAATTTACTTTGGAGATAATAAAAAGCTTGAAGCAGCAGCTTTTATAAGAAATGGAGGAATGTAGAGATTTTTACGAATCAGTAATTATAAAATAAAAAGAGAAAAATAGCATTTAAATCACTTCAGCATATAGTTTTATTGCTTCTGGTTCGCAATACTTAGCTTTACAGACGCAATGTTAATGATTTCAATTTTTTTCAGTCTATGGTAGGTATCATGGTATCTATATAGTAAGTATCTATATTAGTGCACACGGCAAGAAAATATAAAGTATAAAAGAACAGCGATTTACATAATATCAGTATTTCCGAAAAATTTTTTCTTCTTCTGATTATTATTTTTGAATTGAAAATAACAAGGAACTCATCAGCAATCTTTAAGCAGTTGGTGCGCATTTAAAATATTAAGTGTTAAATCCGAAATGTAAAACGTATATGTTATATATTTGGCATAACTAATGACAGCGTTTTCATAAAATAGCAAGGACTCTGCGAAATCAGATTAAGTCTGCATATGAACAAATCACAGAAGTAGATGATTGCATTTTATTTTGTTTTCTTTATTTTGACCGAAGAGATTATATTGCTGCTGCAAGAGATACTTTGGTAGTGGCATCGGGCTGTCCTTGAGAGATTTTCGTGGTTTTCTCATTTTTATTTATTTTGTCTTCTCAAAGACAAATGTGATCTAGTTAAGCAGACTCACTCTTGTTTTCTAGATTTAAGAGTGAGTAGCTAAAAAGGAAAATGTCTGCACTTCCACTAATTGGATTGGCTGTGCAAGGCCGGAAATTTGTGAAATAGTGACTTAAAGTACGAAAAAAATAAGAGTCACGTTACTAATCATGATCGTGTAATTTACCACGACAGAAAAAATATCAAAAAGTTTCATAAATATTCTAATATATTAAAAAAGTGTCTTTTTGCATAAAACTGCTAGTTTTTAATGAAAAAATTACAAATAATTAAAGTTCGGAACATATGCTCCTGCACCATACAGCCTGTGTTAAGAAATCAGAGGTGGGCACAGTAGGTCTTGGCCCTCCATGAGCTGTAGCGCCACTGAGTTTAGCTCAGTTTTCAATTTCATAAAATTTTCAAATTAACTAATACATAAAAGTAGTGTGAAAGGCTCAAATTATCGCTATTTTAATCAAATTTGGGGCTTATTTTCGGGACAAATTAGCTACTCACTTCATTAGTTTCACATGAAAATTTCAATGAATTGAGCTAGTATTAGACACTATTCATTGACACATATTAGTGCTATCATCCATTATTATGTAAAGCATCTTAACATTGTTAATCAGTATCATCAATGAATGGGCTAGGTTTACTAATTCATCAGCTATTATTATCTCCTTTCTTTTTCATCATAAGTTTCTCGCTATAAATCTGGCGAATGAGACTAATGTGAGACACTATTCGTTGGTTCATATTAGACGTATCCATTGCCATCATGAGTATCTCATATTAAGAAAAGTTAGAAATGACAATTTATTTAATTGTTAGTTTACCATATTCAAGCAAAACAGTCAAATAATCATAATTAAGATGGTATTCAAACTGTTAACAGTGAGAAAAGCTGTTTATTACTTGCTTTCACCTAATGCGGTTAAATAACCAGTATTTTATTGCACCAACTAGATCCATGTAATGAAAAGCCACTTAGTTTTGTGCAGATGGGTACATATTATAGCCGAAAAGGCGAATCTGTCTGTCTCATGACCGACTGAACGGGAGTTTGAGTCTCAGCACTTACGGCACACTATTTTCCTTTATTTCCTTCAACACATGTAGAGTTTCCAGTGGCCTGCACTCTTCAATTTGTGACCCCAGGTTTTTTTTTAATACGATACTCTCATTCGCGCGTAGATGGCAACACCATGAAACTGCTTAACTATCTCCAATGTCCAGTAACATTTTTTTTAGATTTTTTGAAACCATGCTAGTTGTAAATGGATAAAAAATCGTAAAGGTAAAAAATTTTCTTTACCGTAAACTTTATGGTTAATTGAATGGACACACTA